GTTATAAAAGCTAAATTGTTTCTTTGAAATTTAAAAAGCGTTCGTTGTACAAAGCTTGACTATTTGTATGATTTATGCAACAGTTACAACTGGAATAAAGTAAAATCAACAATGATTGTGCACTCGTCATTTGATCGAATAGGTTCACATTGTAGATTTGACCAATTCTCGTTTTTATTGTTCTCTAAAAGCTGTATTGTTTCCGATAAAAAGACCGAAAGCATATTTTGTGTTCGAATGAATAAAGTTTTATTTTATCGCTATTTTAAAGTGTGCTAGTGTAGATTACTTCAAGAACCTACCTTGAACGTTGTTAATGAATAGGTATCCTGAAAATGAACATACACCCGTATTCACAAACGATGCTTGCTTATGGGTGAAGGATTCGACTAAACAAGAGTAAATATTAATCTCAGAATAAATCGTCAGTTTTGACATTATTTCCCATACTGAAACTGTCAATGTGCCAGTTAAACCAGGAGTTATTCTCGAATAAAAGTTTGGTCGAACGAATCGGGCCTAAGTGAAGCAGCAATTCGAACGCACAGCGTTGAATAGAACTCTGTGATTGGTTCGAGTGTCACCCTGTGCGTCCACGCGCTCTGTGAGACCTCATACTAATGTTTGTTAATACGGGCGTCAATGTCTATTGGATGATCAAAGTCCATACTTTATATTCATCCAACGCCCCACTTCTTCTTCCGCTTCATAACTCATACCTTTAATACGGGATAATAAAGTGCCAGAAATATCGCTAAAACTGGCCGCATGTGTCGCTGCCCGTTTGAACTAAGCCAAATTGACTGCTGGTTAAAATAGTGCAGAATATATTAAATCACAGTAAAAGATGGTTAAGTAGGTCGTAAGACCGTAAGTAATGATTTTATTTAATGCTGAGCTACGGTTAGCAGTAAAGATTTAGTTTTATTATTCCAACCACATCGCTGATCGTGTATAAGAATTTTCAAATCAATATCAATCTTATTTAGGTATCTTAGATCAAATCTTCGATTTTACTAATTATTATCTTTTATAATCACTTATAATACCTACTTATAAAGAGGAAGTATTGGTTCCGTAAATAAGTACTACTGGCCCGATTTGAAAAAATAATACGCCATTTTTTTACTCATGAACATTAGGCATTATTTAGTTTATAATTTTTAAAATTTTTGCATACTTGTGCGAAGACAGGGCGGCCTGCTGCTAGTAAGTACTGTTATTTTGATCATGTAGTTTATACGAATTGGGAAGACCCTATACTTGTAATTTATACCTTTTATTTTATATTTATGAGTTGCTTGTTTAGCCACTTTGTCTGGAGCGAGTTTACTTTGTGTATTTGCACTATGGACCCAATTGCTAATTCTTAATAGTTTATGCAAATGTATGTCAACCCAAGATCGGCGTGGTGCTCTCTCTTTCACCCATCTCAAAATGAAACGAAACGACATTTGCATACGCAAATAAGTGAATAGTGAATCCAGAACACCAATTACAGGAAAGTGAGTCAGCTGCGTAACTTGAATAAGACAAAAAGGGTGACCTGTTTATTTCACAAGACGTAAGTAAAGAATTATAATTACTTATATCCATATTAATTAAGTATAATAAATATTCAATTAATTTAAAAAGAAATACTAAAGAAGCAAACATTAATTTGAAAGTATCAAAGTTAAGAGAAAGAAGAGCAATCTCGCAATTTTTGACAGTTAATTTTGTATACTGTTTAGAATGGGTCGACTGCTTAAAAATTTTTGGTCATCGATTCTGCTAGCTTAACTCGTATGTGAAGAACAAAAAATTAAAACGCTGATTTTCAAATAGAAAAAGATAAAACTCTCCTCCCCATTCCTAATTCCAAAACAAAATGCTGAATTTGCATGTGCAAATAACGCTGTAGTGAAATCCAAACAGCAATTTGGGAGACAATGGCGGAGCAGCTGCGTTGGAGGGACAAGAATTAAACAATTATTTCTTGTCCTTTCCCTAAGATAGCTAAATACCATCGAGTTTTCATCTGATACAATGGGCATGAATAATGAACAGGATACTGAACAGCTGATCTCCTGACGCTTATTTCTGATGATTATTTTCATTCATTCATTTCATTTTCAAACGAACGATCGAACGAACAATTTTGAGGCCGGTGGTTGTTAAAAAACTTAGTCGGCGAATGTTCACATTTCTGAACATTAATGCACTGGATGGCTGGCAGGCGACTTCGAAAAATATCAATCATGGTTTGTCATAGAAAAACAACGCATTATTATTCTATTTTTAGTGGACCTATGTTTGGAGTCGGGTTTTTATTCTTAGTTGTGACTTTATAATATCAATAAAATCAATAGGTTTCAATAATTATCATGCCATTGGGCGAATAACATTAATACTTTTACACATAATGTGTATGAAGCATTGAAGCTGTTAAATAAATAGAGTATAGAAAAGCAAATAAAATAATGAAGTTATTGACAGAAAAACTCATTCAGCAATACAAATGCAAACGTTGCGAAAAGGAAACCACTGTTGCGATAGTATCGGCGCAATGCCGATAACATAAAAATGTCATGTGCATAGTGCACCCTATAAATATTATTCCCAATAGACTTCGCTAACGCTGCTTAGTCTCTCTCCAGAGATGTAGGTCAGGGTGCTATCCTGCCACCCAGCGAAACGTTACTATTTATAACTTGAACACCCAAACATAAAGTCCAATTTCCCTAACCTCTACTCAGCTTATAACTACAAGCGATTGTCATCTCTACTATACCGACTCAAGAGTACAATTGACTTGCACTGTTGAGCATTTTGCAAAAAATATTATGGGTGCAAGGGTAAGTGATTTGTGCATGCGTCTAATGGTTGTGATATGCGTTTGCTAAGCTTCGCTAGTTTAATTTACGATGCTACAAGATAGGGCGCAGGATTAGCCATTGTTGACGATATCTTAAATATTTTATGTCCAATTAAACCTCTTTTTATTCTGGCTGACCATAAATTTCGCCGCAGCCAAGATACAGCTTAGAGGGTCGCGTGTGTATACATTTACCCTTTCTGTCGGTTCTTTAGTGATGGCAATAAACTACGTCTACGATCATAAATTTAAAAAGATAACAGTTTTAGTGTTTGTCAACTTTTATAATACAAGCTTGATTCTAGTTGAAGTTATTCTAACAGAAATTGGGACTTGAATCTAAGAAGTTTTACAAATTACTTCTGCGAGCAAGAAAATAGCTTAATAACTATAAATGTATGTACAACTGAAAATATTGAAATGTCTTTCGCTTTATTAATAGGCTAGGTATAATAAGTCGCAGGTAACCTCTCAGTCTCACATCACTAAAATGTATATTTCGTAAAATAGACTCACGTACTTTGGCAACTCAAGCAACATCTGTACAATCAGTTGAAGACTTAGAAAATAGTCTTTATTCAGAATAATAATAAGGGTGATGTAATCAAGGGATTGACTGGTCCACCCTGAACTGTTTGCACAGTAACCTACATTACGGTGCATGAGAGATGGCATCATTAATGATCGGAGGGACATGATTTGGGGGACCGCATCCCTTCGTGACTCTGAATGCATTTAGGACACCCCTAAAGATGTACACGACGATATTATAATGTATAGAATGTCCCAAAATAGTGTCAAGTCGAAGCTGCTGAAAGCTGAATTTTCAACAAAAAAATTTATGTATTTTGATACAGGTGTTCACAAGAACATCACTACGCCGCGTGCCCCGCCGCCCGCGCCCGCGGGGCCCCGCGCGCGCCTGTCACATCTCTTTGGTTTTTACATCGTTCACATCAGAGCAACTACGCAATTTTAATGTATTTCCTTGTAACAAGATATTCTTGGTAGTAAACCGTTTGAAACACGAAACAGCGTCTCCTTCATCTATAAGAATCCCGAACAATTTTTGGCGACCGTGACAGGACTTGCAATATATGTAAAAGAAAGCATAACTCTCTTTTGCACTCAGATAAGTCCAATGAACCTGTACAGGGTGCAGAAGAGAGGTCAACAGTTACTAAATCTACTTCACTATCAACATGTATTTCAAATCAAGTATTGTTGTGTACAGCTAATGTCATATTAACAAACAATGAGACAAATCAAAGCCATCAGGCTCGTTGTCTACTAGACTCGGGGAGTCAATCATCATTTGTTAGCAAGGAGCTGAAAGACAAATTAGGTATAAAAGGTGGTTTCATGAATTCAGTATGTGTCACTGGTATAAATAATATGTCATTTGAAGCTTTGCAGCGCTGTCAGTTACAGGTACAATCTTGCACAGGCAAGTTTAAAATTGAAGTTAATGCATTTGTTCTTAATGAGATAACCAGTGCGCTGCCAAGTCAGGAAATTGATGTATCAAGTATTAACATTCCAAATAACATACAGTTAGCAGATCCTAACTATTATCAACCTTCCAAAATAGACATGCTGTTGGGAGCAGATGTGTTTTGGGATGTCATAAGTACAGACATGCAATATATGTAAAAGAAAGCATAACTCTCTTTTGCACTCAGATAAGTCCAATGAACCTGTACAGGGTGCAGAAGAGAGGTCAACAGTTACTAAATCTACTTCACTATCAACATGTATTTCAAATCAAGTATTGTTGTGTACAGCTAATGTCATATTAACAAACAATGAGACAAATCAAAGCCATCAGGCTCGTTGTCTACTAGACTCGGGGAGTCAATCATCATTTGTTAGCAAGGATCTGAAAGACAAATTAGGTATAAAAGGTGATTTCATGAATTCAGTATGTGTCACTGGTATAAATAATATGTCATTTGAAGCTTTGCAGCGCTGTCAGTTACAGGTACAATCTTGCACAGGCAAGTTTAAAATTCAAGTTAATGCATTTGTTCTTAATGAGATAACCAGTGCGCTGCCAAGTCAGGAAATTGATGTATCAAGTATTAACATTCCAAATAACATACAGTTAGCAGATCCTAACTATTATCAACCTTCCAAAATAGACATGCTGTTGGGAGCAGATGTGTTTTGGGATGTCATAAGTACAGAACAAATAAGGTTAGGAAAGGACAAGCCAGTTTTACAAAATTCTATTTTTGGCTGGTTATTAGCAGGGCCAGTCATGTGCAATGCAAATTCTAACAGTAGGATTGCATGTAATTTCAGTCAAGATATTAGTCATCAGCTGCAAAGATTTTGGGAGTTGGAAGAGGTACCATCCAAGCCAGTGATGTCTCCTGAAGATGAAGCATGCGAACAGCACTTCCTGAAATACACTCAGCGCTTAGAAGATGGTAGATTTTGCGTCAGAATGCCCTTGAAAACAGAGCCTGAAAAATTAGGTAATTCTTATTATTTAGCTCGCAAGAGATTTGAGTCTTTAGAAAGGCGTTTTCAAAGGCAACCTGAGGTAAAAGAGCAATATGTTAATTTTATACAGGAGTATCAGGACCTGGGTCATGCGTCGGAGATTGAGAGACCAGACAGAGCTGTGATTTTGCCTCATCATCCTGTTCTTAAGGAGCAGCATGAGTCTACTAAGTGTAGAGTAGTATTTGATGCATCTGCTAAGACAACTTCTGGTTTATCGCTCAATGATGTCATGATGGTGGGTCCCAGGGTTCAGGACGACATTTTTTCTATACTCGCCAGATTCAGAGAACATAATTACATACTTACTGGAGATATAGAAAAGATGTATCGTCAAATTCTCATACATCCATGTCAAAGGCATTTGCAAGTAATTTTGTGGCGAGAAAACACGTATGAGCCTCTGAAGTACTTGCAGTTGAATACCGTGACCTATGGTACGTCAGCGGCTCCATTCTTAAGTACTAGATGTCTAGTTCAGTTAGCATACGAATGTCAAGACCCAGCTATAAAGCAAGTAATATTGCATGACTTCTATGTTGATGATCTGAACACTGGGCACTCAGATGAAGCAAGCTTAAAATACATTTATGAACAAGTCACTGAGAAGCTAAAATCAGCAGGTTTTAACTTACGCAAAATCAAAAGTAATTCTATTAATCTGTTAAATTTTATTTCAAATGAATCAAACGAGAATGCAATGCAAGAGAACTTAAAGTTGTCAACAGCTGCTAATGTTTTAGGAATAGAGTGGGATCCTAATATTGATTGCATTCTCATGTCAATATCAAAGCTGCCAAGTAGTAACAATATTGAAAAATGTACAAAACGGATGATATTGTCGATTTCATCAAGCATCTTTGATCCACTTGGTTTGTTATCTGTTTGTATAATTACATGTAAAATAATACTTCAGTTACTATGGACACAAAAAATTGGATGGGACGACAACATTCCCCAAACAATTAGTGAAATGTGGCATAGATTCATAGCTAATTTGAATTGTTTGAAGAAGTTGACAATACCAAGACATGCTATGTGTGCAAATCCTATTGTAATAGAACTGCATGTCTTTTCTGACGCATCTATGAAGGCTTATGCCGCATGTGTGTATTTACATTCAACGGATGCGTCAGGAAATACAACAGTGCGACTGTTATGTGCTAAATCAAAGGTGGCGCCTTTGAAAGCGTCAACTATACCCAGGCTTGAATTGTGCGGAGCTGTACTTGCTGCCCGCCTTTGTGATAGAGTCAGTAATACATTACGTTGTTCAATAAACAAAAAACATTTTTGGTGTGATTCTAAAGTTGTCCTGGGTTGGTTGAGCTTGTCTTCAAACAGGTTGAGTGCGTTTGTGTCTCACCGGGTGGCTGAGATTAATGATTTGTGTAATGATGTTAAATGGAAATATGTTCCATCATCCTATAATCCTGCGGATCTAGCCTCACGAGGGGTGTACCCTGATGAGGTGCAGTCCTTGTCGCTGTGGTGGGAAGGACCCGCGTTCTTGAGAGAACCAGCGGATCATTGGCCTAGTCAGCTGACCGGAGATGCACTGGCGAACTTACCTGAAATACGCACACATGTTGTAACTTGCGATGCACCTGATACAAAGAATTGTATAATCGAATTTGAAAAATATTCAAGTTTTCTAAAACTAAGACGCATTATGGCTTATGTGTGTCGATTTATTCATAATTGCAAGACAANTTGGAAAACTTTAGGTGAAACCGCATTCTTAACTGTAAGCTCCCAGAAGGAAAGCAGCTAAAAGGATAACCTAGAGGAACATCAGCTGAACAGGTTTCAAATTATGATGGCGTTGGTATATCCTTGGTAGCTTGGAGAGTTAATAAGATTGTGAATCAGGTATCCAGCATTGCTGGCAAGAACCTCACATCCGTAGTAAAGTAGAGTTGACAAGTCACAAAAGAAACATTACTGTAGAGGGGCCTTTTATAGTAGCAGAATATTATCATCACATGGAAGGACCTGATGGACTGCGTAATGGTACATTATAAGATTAAACTGCGTAGTAAACATTGACACATAAACCTCTCTTACCCCCTACTTTTTGGTACGATTTTACACCATGATGCACTTCTGCAACACCATGTTTTTTTCAAAAATAAATACTTTTTTTTCAAGTGTGTTTTTTTTAACTATTTTTCCCATCTTCTATATACCTCATACGACCTGTTTTTGATATAAAAATAATAAAATACGTTCTTGCGCCGTAAAGGGTATGGAATAACAATGATAAATTAATAGTTAGGTGGTACAGGCGAGTTCATAAATACTTATATTGGCAGACCAAATGTTTCAAAATATTGTGACATGTTAATGAACAGTTTATATGATTACACTTGATTGATCTTTCAGTTTGTATTGAAATCGTCGTTTAAAACCACAGATCACAGTTGTTCACAAGAACATCACTACGCCGCGTGCCCCGCCGCCCGCGCCCGCGGGGCCCCCGCGCGCGCCTGTCACATCTTTTGTTTTTACATCGTTCACATCAGAGCAACTACGCAATTTTAATGTATTTCCTTGTAACAAGATATTCTTGGTAGTAAACCGTTTGAAACACGAAAAAAAAAAAAAAACGTTTTTGGTGTGATTCTAAAGTTGTCCTGGGTTAGTTGAGCTTGTCTTCAAACAGGTTGAGTGCGTTTGTGTCTCACCGGGTGGCTGAGATTAATTATTTGTGTAATGATGTTAAATGGAAATATTTTCCATCATCCTATAATCCTGCGGATCTCGCCTCACGAGGGGTGTACCCTGATGAGGTGCAGTCCTTGTCGCTGTGGTGGGAAGGACCCGGGTTCTTGAGAGAACCAGCGGATCATTGGCCTAGTCAGCTGACCGGAGATGCACTGGCGAACTTACCTGAAATACGCACACATGTTGTAACTTGCGATGCACCTGATACAAAGAATTGTATAATCGAATTTGAAAAATATTCAAGTTTTCGCAATTATGGCTTATGTGTGTCGATTTATTCATAATTGCAAGACAAAAAATGTATAGCCTGACCAGGAACATAAAAACCCTGGCATAGAGGCGCTTCAATTGCATTTGATAGTGCAACACTGAGTACAGTCGTACATGTGTTAAATTAATAGGCTAATTATGGCTTATGTGTGTCGATTTATTCATAATTGCAAGACAAAAAATGTAAATGATAGACATTTCAATGGATTAGATGCTGATGAGTTACAAAATTCAGAACTAAAGTTGGCAAAGTTGGCACAATTTGAATGTATATCAATTAGCAAAGATAAATATAAAACCGTACCTTCATTGTACAATTTGTCTCCAACAGTGGACGAAACTGGCTTAGTCCGTGTAGGTGGTAGAATAGAGAATTCAGACTATTCATTTGATAAAAGGCATCCGATAGTTATTGATGGAAAACATCATTATTCTAGATTATTGTTTGAGTATTTCCACATTAAGCTGATGCATGCAGGCCCACAGTTGCTGCTTTCAGTCGTTAGAGAACATTATTGGCCCCTAGGTGGCAGACTAGTGGCGAAAAGAACATGTAACAGATGTATTATTTGCAAGCGAATGAAAGGAGTAACTGCTAAACAAATAATGGGTAACTTACCACCTCAGCGCGTCAATCCTGGGTTTCCGTTTGAAGTCACAGGCACTGATTATGCAGGGCCTTTCCTAATAGTTAACAAGAAGGGAAGAGGCGCAAGGTTAATAAAATGCTATTTATGTGTATTCATATGTTTCAAAACTAAGGCTGTACATCTAGAACTTGTAAGCGATTTGTCAACTGAAGCTTTTATTTTGGCCTTGCGCCGATTCATGTCACGCCGAGGAAAGCCTCGCCAAATCTTTTGTGACAACGGCACTAATTTTGTTGGAGCTAGTCGAGAGATTGCTCGGCTTGTAGAAACCTGTAGTCCTTCAATGTCAGACCTTGCAAACGAAGGTATTAATTTTAAGTTTTCACCGGTTTATTCACCGCATTTTGGAGGCCTATACGAAGCAGCTGTGAAATCAGCAAAATTTCATATGAAAAGGGTTGTAGGGAACACGCATTTAACTTTCGAAGAGCTAACGACTCTATTTGCGCAGATAGAAGCCATCCTCAATTCTAGACCTCTAGTTCCACTATCTTCCCATCCCAATGACCTTTCCCCTCTCACTCCCGGGCACTTCCTCGTAGGGAGACCTCTAACGTCATTGCCAACGCCTGATTTAAAGGACGCTAATCCAAGCCGTCTTCACAGATATGCCCGCATAGAGCAAGCCAGGCAGCATTTCTGGACAAGATGGAGCCGGGAATACATTTGCGAACTACAACAACGCACCAAGTGGCAGACCAAGCACCCTAACATCGAGCCTGGCCAACTGGTGCTAATAAGAGACGAGCGTTGCCCGCCATTGAAATGGCCACTCGGGCGCATCACATCGGTGTACCCAGGTTCCGACGGCGCCATCCGGGTCGTCGACATTTTGACATCGCAGGGTCAGATCCGTCGAGCTATAAACCGGGTCTGCCCCCTGCTCGACGAGGAGTAGCAGCGGCACGATTCTTCGAGGAGGGCGGAGGTTGTTCACAAGAACATCACTACGCCGCGTGCCCCGCCGCCCGCGCCCGCGGGGCCCCCGCGCGCGCCTGTCACATCTTTTGTTTTTACATCGTTCACATCAGAGCTACTACGCAATTTTAATGTATTTCCTTGTAACAAGATATTCTTGGTAGTAAACCGTTTGAAACACGAAACAGCGTCTCCTTCATCCATAAGAATCCCGAACAACAGTAACTAAAGGGCGACCAAAGACTAAAAAACTGAAGAGGGCAAAGTACCGTGTTTCATGTAATAAACAATTTGAATTTGAATTTGAATTTTGAATTTGGCGATGTGAAAGGGGGGCGGGGCCAGTGTCGCAGCAATATGCCCAAAAACAGAACACTGATGACAGCTCGTGATCGTGACAACAATGATGACAGCAGCAACTTAATGTCTGTTTACATTGCTTGCTTGTACTACACTAAAGATTGTGCGAACGAAGAGTACAGTACGTTGAGCCAATGTATTTATGAACTCGACTGTACCTAATGCTTTTGAAGCAATATTCAGCCCTTTCAATATTAATAAGGGTACCTCTGTTATTATTAATGATTCTGTTTATCGATGTGGTATTTGAGCTAGATATATGGATTTAGATAAATCAAATTATCTCCAATATATTACTAATTGATTGATCTTAGTATCAGACTAATTACTTAGCTAACTAAGCAAATAATATTATATCTATGCATAACTAGCGGCCGCCCGCGACTTCGTAGGTACGCGTGGACCCAGTTTTACCCCCTTAGGATTTGAATTTTGCAAAATCCCGTCTTGGTGAGCACCTACGTTCAAAAAGGAACCCCCATGCAAAATTTGAGACTCCTAGCATTTGTATTTTCTGAGATTTTGTGATAAGTGAGTAAGTCAGTGACCTTTCGTTTTTATACAGGCTGATTTTTTATTGAAAAATACTCGTACAATAACCATTCAAAACCCTGTACAACCTTTATTATGGAAATACCCTTCTGTTTTTTTATTTTGCTCTCAGTGGGATTCGAACCCTGTAGTTTAGTAGTCACCAGGCAGTCATCAAAGACTACTTTGAGGAAAAGGTTTCGTTTCAACTGAAGGACGTCCACTGCTGGACCAAAGCCCCCCAAGTATTTCTACAACGACCGGTCTTGCGCTGGCCGCATCCAAGTGATTCCCGCGACCTTCACCAGATCATCGATCTACCAAGTGGAAGGCCTGCGCTCACACTGTCACTACGTCAACTGGGTCGTGATCACCACTTGACAACTATTCTCTAGACAGCTAAAATTAAGTGGCAGTGTGCCACTAAAGTTTGGCAATTCTGCAGGCAAAGTCAGTTATTTATCTTCTCCTCACTTTTAATTCTAGCCTAGGGAAACTCCAAGCATAGCACGCTCCATTAAAACCTTATTACAACAATTGTCAAGCGTTCTGTAATTATGATTATTTTGGAAACAGAACTGAAATTCACACCATTACACTAACTGTAAATAACCCCCACACTACCGGGATAATGATTCCCTCCATAATACAATTTTCAACCCCTCCCGACGCGTGACAGAATGAGGGTAATTGTTGGGTTGAAATCCCGCGCCGTAAGGGCAACCGCACACGTGCTTTTAGCATCGACCGGCGATTTAGTTGCATGTAAAAACGCCAAAAACGCTAAATCGCGCGATTCCGGTACTGCGTCCGAACGCATGAAGTTGCTAAATCGCGAATTTTAGCGACTCTATCGACGCAGAATTGACTGCGTCGACATAAAGTTTAGAAATCGCGAAGCTCCATTGATAAGAGTCGCTAAAATGCGCGATTCCGATACTGCATCCGAATGCATTAGGTCGCGATATTGCGATGCTGCATCAAAACAGTCGTAAAATCGCCGATCGCCGATGATAATTTTATTGAAAAAAAAAACCCCGACTGCCTAAAATGAACTAAATGCAGTCGGATGCATCAATGACCAGTTCTTTTGACGATGAAATGTATTTCTTGTTTTAATCTTTTTAGTTCATTTTACGCAGTCGGGATTTTTTTTTTCAACAATAATTTTATTTTAATTTTTTTTAAGTTATGACATACATTTTTGTAGCCCTTTATTTTGATACCCACACTCGATAGGTTTTAAGAAAAAAAAAAATTAAGACATCAAGGTGCTAAGCGGCTCAGTGTCATCACGAATCTAGCGACACCTCTCACGCTAAAATCTGGTGCAGTCGGGTAAAAAAATAAAATAAAGTATGTCTGCTGGGAACCTAAATATGACGGGCGTGTTCACACTGGGATGTATTCGCCAAAACTACGCATATAAGAGATGTAATAAGTATGGTAGTTAATGTACAGAATGAATATTCATTTTGAATCTTCTTTTACAGAAGATTACAGCATGTCACAGAAGAGACGTCACAGATGTGGCAGTTAAATTGCTTCGTTCTGGTGGTTTTTTCTACCTCTCTACGATTATTTAATTTGTGCAATACTACTATAATAATAATAATTCTTTTCAAATGATATCAACAATGGAGAAGTTTCCAATTTTTTTCTATTAATAAAGCCTAAAAATATAAGTAAAACCAATAATATTTATGAAAGAATCATGAAAATATCTCTACAAATAAAGAAATTACAGGGCTCCAAAGTTGCGCATAACAAATATTTCGCGCCATTTGATCGGTGACGTCACGGCACTCATTTGGAGTGCAAACATTGAATCACCTCTGGATCAGTGCTGTTGACAGATCCATTTTTTTTAAATCTAGTAGCTTTTAATTTTTCAGCAAGGTTCACTCAAGATTCTTCCTTACCAAAATTATTTGGTAAAATTTTTATGACATATCCCAGACCTGGCCATATACAAAAAGAAGAAGAAGACTTTGACATAGTGTCATTCTCGATAACGCGATACGTTATAGGAGCAATTTTTCAACAAAATTGTATTATGCTGTCGTCTGTACCTGTAGATAAGATTAATGTTCAGCTATCTTCTCTTTTGCCAACAGAGCTGACCAGTCATCATCCGATGGCGGCAGAGAGAAGAACATGAGCAGACTCAACGGATTCCTGAGCTTGAAGACTCCACTCATCAGCACCAAGACTCTTGGGTAAGTGTAGATTATAAGAGTAGATTCTCTTCATAAAATTGACGATTAACTTTATAAAATTGACTTTTTAAGAAGGACTTAAAAAGTTTGGGTCCATTTATTGAATTACGACGAAAAACCAAGTAAAGCTTCAACCATACCAACGCGTGCAGTGGCCTTATTCACGCATTTTGACACAGTCAAAATCTCGTTGACTTTTAGAAGTCATCCTATTGAAAAACAATTCTAAATCCGTATTCACAAGGGTCATTTCGATAAAACGATTACTCGATAGGATCGCAACACTTGCCGGCGATGGCAAACTGTAGCCTTATTCACGTAAACAACGTTTTTTTTACGTGAATAAGGCTACAGTTTGCCATCGCCGGCGCGATCATAAGCCAATGGCAAGTCGCGCGACACAAACATGACAGTTTGCGCCACCTTTCATTGACCTATGATCGCGTCGGCGATGGCGATAATGCGTTGATGTGGTTGAAGCATAAGACGAAAAAACAAAAACCAAGAGTCTCTTAGTAGACTTACCAAGACTTATTTTAGAAGAAAGTGAGCATGCCAACAAGAAAACTACAATACTGGTTATGGAGGATGCTTATTTTAGTTCAAACTTAACAAGGTCAAATTTTTCTTCGGTTTTGGGTAAGGTTGAAAATGTGGTGGGAACGATTCCCACTTCAATATAAAAGGTTAAAGCTTTAAAGCTATCAGAGGATGGTACCGAAGGTCTAAGAAGAAACCTTGTGTGGGTCCTTTTCTGTTTATGAATAGGTTCGAACTTATACAGTACCTCTAGCATAAACTACTTCGAATCGTTTGCGTATTCGACAAAAATCGATACTCAACCTTCGAATTAAACAATAACGTGACAATTTTAACTGTCAAAATAAGTTTCTTGTAAAAATTTCTCATACTAAGTTCACTTTACGACACGTTCACAAGGGTGACTGCTGTTGTGATTTTCGTACTTAATCTTTGATGGCGATTCGAATACGCAAACGATTCGAAGTCGAATTTTATTCGTAATAGAGGTACAGTACTTTAACACCAACTATTTTTAGTCAATAAGCCAAGCCAAGCTAATATTATGCCAAGAATTTCTAAAACATAAAAAGTATTGATTTAAAACGCTCAAATAACCTGATTTGGAGGTTATTTGGATGACACAAGTTTATTCTAGAATGTGTACGAACAAGTGACCTTGGATTATGATTTTTTGTTACTTACAGGCTTCTCTTTTTTCAATTTGTCATTCTTTAAATTAAAAACACCACGTTGGGCGCCAATTTTTAAAACGAAGTAAATTATTATTAAAAGTACGAATAATTTTTTTTCCGATTCATTTGTTTTGATGGATTATGATTCTTCATAAAACGGAACAACTTCTTCTGTTGATAGTCACATATTTTCTGTATAATAATAATAATATAAAAAAACACCACGTTGGGCGCCAACTAATAATGTTGGTATAAAGTTATTCTAAAGTACTAAATAATGTCTTTGCAATTTACTTATTCAAATAAATTATGCTGGTTCTAATAATAGCAATATAATAATCCTTTCTTTGGCTTGTTTTCCTTATCGTAAAACACCACGTTGGGCGCCAACATTTATTATGGTGTATTAAGTACTCAACTCATACCAACGTACGAAACGGTAATCTCTTTAACAGATTTACTTGATTAAATCCATACAATAATATATTTGCTTTGTTTTGACAAAGGTTATGGAATTTTCGTATAAATTACGCAGAGACCTTATGAAAATATATCGAATTTAGCACGAAAATGCTAAAAGGTTCGAGATAATCTCGTTACACCGTGATTAACTAATTTATACGCCGAATCCAAGTAAAATATTACTTCTGAGCGAA